GAGCTTTGTGAAAAGCAGCCATTTCTCAGAGCATCGGTCCTTTTGGAGCTGCCACCACCACCTCCATCAGCTCCATCAGCAACAACCACGACGGGCAAGGAGAAGGCAGGAAAAATTTTACACCCTTTGCTGGCCTCCCAGGAGAGCCCCTTTCCAAAGCAGAACTGCAGTAAGCATCTTTACAGCAGTAAGCTGCTTTCTGAGACCAGGGATGGGCACCAGGCAGTTGGGAAATATGGCTTTTCTCAAGTACCTGTTATCTGAGGCAATTAAAAAATAAATTAAACTCTCATTTTAACTTGCCACATGAGAGACATATGCAACGGTGAAACAATTAAAAGCCAGTGCCGGGAACATGCTGTTCTCACCAGCTCGTTGCAAAAGTACACAAGGGCAAAAAGCATCCCGGGCCGTCGCTTTTTTTGTGGTTTTCTGATCATTAATCAATAGCTATTGCTGCCTCTGGCGGCTCCCTCGGCTCCCCCATCACACTCGTGTGCTAAGGTTCTTGCAGGCTGGGTCGGTGCTTAGCAGAGCAGGAACCCCTTCAACAGCACCCTAGTGATGCTGGGGCTCCTGCTGGTGTCTCTCAGGCCAAGCCAAGCTGAGGATGCCCTTGGCTCCAGACTAGAGCCCTGGTCCCAGCCTAACAGACTGTATGTGATACATAAATGTGCTTGGGTTGAACAGTATTGCAGCTGCCAAGGCCTGACCGGGCTGCGAGAGCCTAGCTTTACTTTTCACTCCTGCAGTGTTTACTGTCTGTGATGACTACAAACTAGATGCTGTGTAATACCATGTGAACGGAGAAAGAAATAAAATTGGGGATAGTGCTTTGTGTTTACACAAACTCCCCAGTTCTGGTGCTAGTTTCAAGCTGCTGTTATGTCTCAAGTGAATGCACTGGAAATAAATACTCCATATCTGCTCATGCATGCCACGAGCTGTCTAAAATTAACCACCTCTAATGCTTTCAGTTCACATAAGCCACTTTGTGCGCCTTGTTCAAAGGGAAGTACCTGTACAGACGTGGTGTTTTTACTGTTACTGTTAGCAGTGGGTGCACATCTGCAAATGTTCAGAAGATAAATACAACATGAGGTCCTGCAACTACTCAGAGAAGTCCTTCTGTATTCAGAGGCCAAAACCCTCACCCCAAGACTACAAATATCACTAGGGCTGGGGTTCGGTCTGCAGGATGCACAGGTCTGATGGGAGGTTTTGCAATGAACCTGCAGTCGTGCATCGACAAAGCTTTCACTTGTGGGACCAACACCACCGATAAACACGGTCCTCAGCCATCGCCCATGTTCGGGGTGGTGCAAGTGCCCTGGTATTCCCACAGCACCCCCCAAACAGCTGTGTTTTCCAAGGTCAGCTCTCCTAGCAGATGTAACATGGTACCAGGAAAAGTACTGCCGTGGGGCTGCACCGTACTTGCGCCATAATACCTGTGTTTTTCTCCATGCAAAAGCCAAGGTCTTCCTTTTCTCAGGCTCCTGAGGCACAACACTCTGCAGTCAGCAGACGGATTTCTACAAGCAGGAAAGTCCATCTTCACTTTAAAGGAGTAGGGAAGAAGAACTCCTGAAACCATGTTTTGCAATCCCTTTTTCCAAATCACTGTCAAAACACTGGGGAAACCAAGTGCACCCACTAAAAAGTCAAGAATCTCTGCAGTGCCGTCAATACCAATGGTATTTTCAGAATAACAATAACAGCCAAGATCTGAGGAAAAAGAAAATTAGTACAAGGTCTTGCAAATATGAAAACAGGCTGGATTCCATCTCAGTAACCAGTGCTGACGCTTGCTAATGCTGACTCTTTTGGAGTAAAACTTACCACACTTAACAAAGAACATCTTTGCCTGGAGGAAGAAGTTTATTTTTAAAAGGTGCCAGGTAGTTATCAGGAATAGCTGCTAAAAGCAAGTTGATGGTCAAATCACCTTGCTGTTACCTGTGCACAGCTCTGAGCCCAGGAATCTATTTCTCAATATTCCTTGCAGCCAACAAGCCCTGTGCTGTTAGCCGGTACAGAAATAAACCTGCACAGAACAAATTACTACTCCTGCTTTCAGATCTAAAGACTCTACATAACCATTAAGATACATACCTTAATGAGAAGATGAGTTGATAGCTGTGTTGCTTCTCTTTTACTAGATAATCAAGAGGAAAAGCATTATATCTGCACTGCACAAGCGCATTCACTTGAGCACATGCTCCTCTCCCCTGGAAAATGTTCCCAAATGGTCAAGGCACAATTTGGAAGCATGATCACCCTGTAGTGAGTTTACAAGTGAGTTGTTCTCTTGCAGAGAACTCTACTTTTTGTTGCAGGAGACATTCCCCTTCAGTGATGGTTCTTTTAAGGTAACTCCAACCCTGCACAGGCTTGTACATGCTTAACTTCTGCAAGGATCTGACGCAGCTGGAATCATCACATTAAAAATACCATTTTCCCTTCTGCTTCCAATATGTTACCCTAGTGAAATGATATTAATCTGTTGTTCTGTTGGAGAGATCTCAGCCCCTGCTTGCTTTCAGCCTGCAACACTGCAAAAACAAAAAGATGATATGAGTAGGAGCATCAAGACCGCAGAGAACTCGCCTTTCCTTGGCGCAAGGTGCGACACCCACCCACAGCCACAACTGCTCCTGGTGCTTCGCGCCCTTCAGCAGCTGACAAAGGTGGTAAGCCACTTTTGGAATTCATCCCAAAAAGCACAGGAGCGTTTACCATGCGACACCCTTGTTAACAAAGTGAGAAAACAGTTTTGTAGCTGCCAAGGGCTGGCTGGTGGCTCGCAGTGAGTGAGAGCTTGGACTCCTCAGTGCTGGAGCTATTTTAACTTTGCCAGTTTTGAGTTAGTTCTCCTATGATGGAATGAGTTGGGTAGGGAGGAGACAGCAGAACTAGCACAGGATACTTTTACATTTCACTGTTCTTAAAAGCATTAGCTGAAGACCAAGACCACTTGTATGATGAGAATCCCCTGCTCTTCTCGGAGCTCCAGTCCTCAGTCTGTGTCCATGGTGCTTCCATGAGTGTCCCAAAGATGAAGACTTCCAAATGAATCCTCCTCACAGCACAATATTAGCAAAAGGAATTGCTTCTTCCATGTGCTTTTAGGCACAAGCGAACTAAGAGATACCATGGCTAATCTGCACAAAGAAAAATGACTTTTGTCGAAACCACACGTGCCAAAACCTCTCTAAAGAAGCAAGGCTGCAGACAAGTCACATTATCTCATCAGCTCTCTTCCCATTTTAGCTACCCTTGTGCCTGGCTATGTCTGTTATGGTCTACCAGCCTCTCAGGCTGTCTCTGTGACATACGTGGGGCCTGGGAGAGTTTTACAAGTCTTCTCAACGTACATTAAAAACAGAATTTTTGCATTGCAGAAAGGAAGATATCTGGTGGCGAGGGATTTCCTGTAGCTTGTGCAGGAGTTAGTGGAAGTTTCTGCTAAGAGGGTTCAACAGCTTTTTCGCAGAAGCCATCACACATTTTAATTACTCCCTTTACACATTCAAGCGCTTTACATCCAAGTCAACCTTCCAGGCAAGTATCTTTTTAATAACCTTTTAGTTAAGCCTGGTAGTTTTCATTTCACCAACCATTTAATTTTCCCATTAAATAAGCCTTTGTTCAAAACACTTCCAACATTAGGCTCTTACAGGTATGAATTCCACCGACTGCTAATCCCAAACAGCAGAACAACTAGACGTCCCCAATTAGAGCAACTGCTTAATCAGAGCAGTCACACCACATAAAGGCGTGCATACTGCTGCAATTTAATCGAGTGCTAACACCCCTGACAGCCAGAACACTGAATACCCAAGGGAGAAGGGAAAGGTGCTGCTGGATAGGGCACACTGCACCGACAACTCTGAAATATTTCCCTGTTTTCCCTAAGAACGGGCAAACAGATCAGTTCCCTAATCCAGAGACTCCTTTATGGGACCCAGATACTCTTTTGTGGAGCGAAATTCAACTGATTCATCGGTGAGGTTGGAAGAGCTGGCCTCTCATCCGTGACAAGCTAAGCTGCTGCTAAGGACGGTTGTCCAGCTTGAGCTAAGGCCCTCACACCAAATACTACAGTGACCACGTTTGCAAAATGCTTGCCCCAGTGTTCCCCAGTGGAGGGTACTGAGCAAAAACCACCCCACGAAGAGCAACACGATTAATCCAAGTTCTGAGACGCGGCACTTGGATTTCACCTCTGCAGGAGAATCCAGCAGAATGCAGGTTATTTTTTACTCTATTAAGTTTGCAAACACAATCGGTACTTCACATTAAATAGCCCAGCACTAAATGTAAAGGTACGTGACTCCAGCACTGGACATGCAGTGTGCGGCAGGGCTTCGTGCTGAAAATGCACCACTTCTTAGAAAGAAATTAGTGAAATCATGGAAGCTGGCAGCAGGAGGAAACAAAGTTTTCTGACATCAAAAGGAAACAGACTCGACGACACACTGTTTTATCCTACCACAGTGATTAAATCTAGACTATTTAAAGTGTCATGGTTAAGTTTCAGGTGTAAAAACTTTATGGCCATAACGAAGACAAAAGCATACTTCTTCGGAAGCTACAGACATCTGGTATTTGGCAATACCTGACCAAATTTGGAGAGCTACTTTCCAAGGGAACCTTTCTTCACTCATTTTTTGAGTCCAAATGAAAGCAGGACTCCAGGAGATACCTTTGGTATTACACAGACACCTCCACACGCATCATAGAATGCCTGGATCAAATGTAATCCTCTTACAAGGTGTTTCTTTACCTCTGAGAAAATAAAACAAATCTTTTCTAAATCAAAAGGATTGCAAAGTAACAATTAGCAAAAGGTGGCTTACATTTGGTCTTTTTCCTGCTTTTTCTATTTCGTGCTTTCAAAAATTTGCTACTGCAGTACTCAGCTGGACAGAATGAGAGCACACAGCTCCATCAGAAACACAAATCTGTTCAAATCCCCCACTTCAACACCATGCCCCTTCTTAGCCAAAATAAAGTTCTCTCTCCATCATTAACAGCCATTCCACCAATCACATCAAGTTACATAAGGGATTAGTAGATAAAAACATGTATGAAATACAGCTGATAACGGTTCGATTTAATATGTAACTTTTTTCTTTTAGTAGCCAACATCATACTTCCCTCCCAAATAAAAAAATACCTAATTAAAAAAAATATAAACAGAATACACAGACAGAAGGGATATGTGGGAATCTCTAGACTACTCTGTCTTAGCAAAGACTTGCAACAACAGTTGCACCCAAACCCAGTGCTGAAGAACAACCTTGCTCCAGGGAGCAGGAGACAGTTCATTGGTGACCAAGTCTGCAGAAGAAAGCTGCATGGCCCACACATCTGCAGAAAGCTCCACCTGATGCTCCTACAGTTCAGCTGGTAAGAAGAGCATGAAGTTATTTCCTCACGTAACACCAGTTTAAAGCCAGGCAGCACAACCTCTGTCAGCACAAGCTGCAGAGCTCCCTACGATGTAGTGTTCTCCACTGCTAGGAAGCAGGATCCAGACTGGCTGTTGCGCGTGCCATGGAGCGCTCTCCTCAGCCCACTTCAGGTAAGAAGCAACCGAGGCGACCACAACCACAGCGAACAAGGGACTAAGATTTGTCCAGTTTGTGCGTACGCTCGTGCCTCCGTAGAGTTCCAGACTCGGTGAAGGAATGACCACAGTAAGCACAGGAGTAGGGCTTCTCTCCCGTGTGGATCCGCTGATGACGCTGCAGCGATGCCAGCCGGGTGAAGGTCCCTCCACACTCCTCGCAGTAGAAGGGGCGCTCCCCAGAGTGAGTCTGCTGGTGTCTCTTCAGCCTGAGCAGCTGGATGAATGCCATGCCACATTCCTGGCATTTGAAAGGCTTGTCTTGCCGGTGGATCACCTTGTGTTTGGAGAGCAGATTAGGCTTATCAAAACCCTTGCCGCATGTTGGACAGGCATAAGGTTTATAGTCTTCCTCCTCTGACTTTGGGTTCTCTGCACAAGGCTGATCAGTGTATTCAGCACAGTGTTGGCTACGGTGCACTACTGACCACGGGTTCCTGGCCATGCCATTTCCTAGGATCACCATGGAGCGCTCTATCTTGTGCACATTGCGCAGGTGCCTCCAGACATCAGCTGTGCGGATGAAACCCTTGTCACATTCTGGACACTTATGTGGCCTGTCACTAGAATGAATGAGCTTGTGCATTCGCAGATTGGCAGCACGGAAGAACTCTTTGCCACAAACAGGACATTGGTATGAGTTTTGCACAAGGTGGATTTGCTTGTGTTCCTGCAGTTCATTCGTACCCTGGAAAGAGGCACCACACTTCTTGCATCTATATGGCAAGGGTTCCCCAGAAATGGGTACCAGGTCCTCACCAAAAACATCAGCAAGAACAGTGTTTTCGTCTTCATCACACGGCCTTCTCTGGGGTTTCTTGGAGCACTTAGAGGAACTGCGCTCTAAATCCTCCTCTTCACACTGCAAGTCAAAGTTGGTATTGGAGGTGACAATTATCCCAGCTGTCGTCTCACCTTGGTTTTGGTAGTAGGTCTCATAGGTCTCTTCATCTTCACACTGCAACTCTACAGGAATCTTCTGTTTACCTGAAGGTCCAGCATGGTTGCGACGAGGAGTGGATCTCTGTGAGTAATTCATGTCTACCTCCTTCTGGAGGCTAGATTTGTGGCCTACCCATTTATTGGTCTGTCTGGAATAATTTGAATGCTTCTCACCTGTGTCACATGTGTTATTCTCGGAGTCCCAGTCTACTTTCACATCCATCTTCGGATGTGTGTGCTGTGTTTATCTGCGTATACCAAGCTCTTCAGGTCTTGCATGGCAAGTACGTCTCATTCTCAGATCTCTTCAGTCATCCCTAGAAAACAACAACAAAAAAATTATCAAAGGATTTTCTGAGAGCAGCAGCAAATAAACATATATCAATACAGAAAACCTATGTTATGATTAAAATAATGGAACAGATTATTAGCTATGCAGTGGGAGAAACAGAATCATTGTCTAGCATTTATGTGGAATGCAAACAATTCAGCATATAGAATGCAGACAGAATACACTTTAGTAAAGTTAAATCCTCTGTTATAACCCAGTCTTTGCTATAAATGTAAATTGTTAAACCATTTCTATTTAAGTTAAAATCTTAAGAACTTTAGGGTCAAAACACTTTGGGTTAAGTCCTACACTCACTTATCTCTCTAGCTGCCTTATAGCAGGTCTTTTACCCAACAATTCACTTCTAATCCTTGTTTTTAAGTTGCTATTAAATAAATTGGCCAGCACCACATAGTGAGGAGAGATGTGCTAGAGTCATCTGTAAGGAAAGGTCTAAAAGAGCAGCCAAGGAAGCTCACTGGTTGACCTAACAGCTGCTGGCCCCCCAGAATGGCTTCAAATTCCCCGGGTAAATTGTCCCAGCAGCCTCTGGTGACTCCACATGGAGTTTTCAGTCAACCAGTTTTAAGGAGGAATTTGGTCTGAATAGATAGTCTGAGCTAAGAAAGTTCATTTTACCCACCGTGCACAGTTAGCTCTGCTCTTTGGACCTCCAGCATCTCCTCCACAGCCACTTTTTAATATTCCCTTCACTCCTGCTCCTTCTCCGTTTCTTCCTGGCTGCTTTTGTCTTAACAAAGATTAAGAAGAAGAAGTTAAGAAGATTAAGAAGAGAAGTTAAAACTTCTCTAAACATAAGCATATTCATACAGAATGTGTAAGTATGTAGGCATGCATATATTTCTGCATTTACATGTGAACATAAATATAAAGATTGCCTATTCATTTTCAGTAGGTTTAACTAGCAATAAGGACATCACAGTAACACACTTTAAGTGAAAGGTCTCATTCACGTCTCAGAAAGGCCAGCTTCATTCAAGGCACAAATTGAACTTTCTTCTACCGTGATCCTGAAAACAAGTCTGAATTAATCGTCTTCATTAGGCACTGTCTGGAAAACACTGGCTTGAGTCATCCATCAGCTCCAACTATTCCCATTAACTTAGTGGTACCTGCATGAAAATGGGGGCTATTTTTACCTTCCAGCGTGGGGCTGAGTGTCTCCAGGAGGTCACGGCAGGCTTCCTAGCGAAGCAACGGGCTGGCTTGCTAAAGATAAACTTTCCAGGGAAGGCTTGTCTTAACAAAACTTGCTGAGAAAGGCCAGCCCCACGCAGCAGGACTTGCAAGCGGGATGACGCAAGCTTAACGAAACCCGGGTTTATAGGTGGGGATGGACGGATAAGGCGAATCCCGCCGTGCCAAGCGCCCGCCCGCTGCGTGTCCCCCCGCTCGCATCTCACCCGGTGCCGCAGCAGGTAGCAGCAGCAGCAGCGGGGCAGCCGCTGGGCCTGGCGCAGGCCCCGGCGCAGCCGCAGCGCCGCCCTCGGCATCGCGCCCGCCCTGGAGAGGCGGCGCTCGGCCCGCGCCGCTGCCCCAACGCTGCCCTTCCCAAGCGAGCCCAGGCAGACGCTGCATTCCCTTTGAAGCCGTTAGCCAGGAGAAATAAGCTCAGCTCTTGTCAGGCTGCTGTCGTTCCAAGCCCCTGGCTTTGCGGCCTCACCTCCAACCCAAGCGGTGCTTCTTCAATGCGCACGTCCGCAACTGCACCCGGTGTTTTTGGCAGAGGCTCTTTCATCGATGGCATCGTTTCTTCACTCCTGCTGCAAATCCTAGGGCCCCAATACCCTTTCCAAAGCCGCAGCACAACAGCAATTCACAGGCATTCTCAATCCCCCTGCCTCCACCTGATAAGCCACTGCTCTAGAGCACAAATTTCTCTCTTTTCTATACCACTGCCTTAGGAGAACCTCTCACCCTTTCCCTGTATTTCCCCCCTCCCTCTCAGCACATTTCTTTCCCACATTTCCATTCCTACATTAGCATCATCCTCCTTCAGCAGGGGTGGGAGTCTAAAGTCCAGTCCTCTGGGAACTCTGTCAGGAGCCTCCCAACAATTTCTGTTTTCCAACAGCTGGTGGTCCCAGGGCCCTTTTGCTCCCACTTTTAACACCACAGTCGCTTTGCACGTGGGACAGCTCTGTTGCAGCTCTATTCCACAAAAACAAAATTCTCAAAGGTTTTGAAAAGGAGGATCTCCCAGTAACAGCAAATAGAGAACTGGGATTAAACCTGAATGGAAGAGTGCACAGTAACGTGTTCAAATACTATACAGCAGAAGGTTGAAAGTTCCACTTTTATAGGATCTCATAGATCTTTCTAAACTTAAACCAGCAATTACTCTTCTGGGAGATGAGAGTGGAGAAAAGAAACACAGATATTCCTTGTCCCTAACTGAAGAGCAAGTACCTTTTGAAAGCACAGCTAAGTAGCAGTTGAGTTTCTTCCGACTAGCCAGATAAAAGTAAATTGGTAACATCTCTTTAAAAATGGTCCTTGAATACATTGAGAATCCACACATGTTGCTCAGTGTGATGAATTTTGCAGAGAAAGAACCATAATTCCAACTCTCACAAACTGGAAAGAAACTCAGATGATTTTCATCATTTTTATTATTTTTTTCTCTGAATTTAAAATTCTTAGGCATATCTTACAGTAATGCAATAGATGGCCAGGCTAAAAGATTTCTTCTATCTCGACTCAGGATGTACAGAGCCACATACTCTTTCCACATACATTAGTGGAGCCAAGCACACAACTCTCTCCTCATTCATCAATGCTCTAGTAACACACATAAACATAAACACACAAAGGACCAATACTTCCACGAGCAAGCATATTTGCATGGGGTGCAGATGATAAATGGGCATTAAAAAAAAGAAATTCCAAAACATGGGTTTTTACACCCAACAGAGTAAATGGAGACAGCATGTAGGGACGGAAGGGATGGGTGAACAGTTCTGGTCTCGTGACCTCGTGCAGGACAGTTCTGCAAAATCAATATCAGAGGGTGGTGATTATCTAGACAGGAACACCTAACTTCAAGATCATACTTGCACAACAGCTCTAATTCAACATGAGTCTTACATGATCAGATGCCCCAAATGAGTCCAACTAGTACTGATAACACCCAACAATTCTCCATCTCTTTTGAATTCTACCTTATATATTGGTAGTGGAAGCAATTCCTCTTGTAGCTACCAGGTAATGGTGTGTACCACCAGCAAACACTGCTCTTCCTCATAGGGATCAGAGTTCCTCAAAAATCATGGTATCTACCCAGGGTTATACTGGCTGTCTTGCAGACAGTGACTAGGGACAGGCCTTTTGCACCTCTGCTCATGAGCAGAACTTTTCAAAGCAGAGTACAAAACTTAGGTCAAAAGGAAACAACACAGCTATAAACCACTGAGTTTTCATTTTGTGTGTGTGCTCGTGTCTCCTCAAGGAGCCTGACTCAGTGAAATCCTGAGCACAGTAAGCACAGGAGTAGGGCTTCTCTCCTGTGTGGATCTGCTGATGACGCTGCAGCGATGCCAGCCGGGTGAAGGTCCCTCCACGCTCCTCGCAGTAGAAGGGGCGCTCCCCAGAATGAGTTTTCTGGTGTCTTTTCAACCCGAGCAGCTGCACAAAGGATTTCCTGCATTCATGAAATTCATAGGACTTGTCTTGTCAGTGAACCACCTTATGTTTGGAAAGCAAGTTAGGCTTATCAAAGCTTTTGCCACACGTTGGACAGGTGTATGATTTACACTCTTCCTCCCCGGGCACCTGATCACCATTCCAGTGCTGATAAACATCTCCCCCACCATTCCAGTTCCTGTGTCCTGGAGACCACGGGTTCCCGGCCATGCCATTTTCTAGGATTACCGTGGAGCACTCTACCTTGTGCACATTGCTCAGGTGCCTCCAGACATCAGCTGTGTGGATGAAACCGTTGTCACATTCTGGACATTTGTATGGCTTGTCACTGGAATGAATGAGCATGTGCATTTGCAAGTTCATGGCATGAAAGAACTCTTCCTGTGCCACACACAGGGCACTGACATGAGTTTTCCACAAAACGAATTTGCTTGTGGTCTTGCAGCTCACTTGCATCCTGAAAAGAGGTGTCACGTTTCTTGCCCTTGTATGTCAAAGGATTCCCAGAGATGTGCTCCAAGTCCTCCTCCTCCTCAAGTGTATCAATAAGAATGATGCTTTCATCATCCTCACTTACTCCTCCTTGAAGTTCCTCAGAGTGTTCAGAGGAACTGTGCTCTAAACCTTCATCTTCACACTGCAGGTCAAAGTTGGTACTGGAAGTGACAAAAACCCAAGCGGTGGCTGATTTTCATTTCTGGCAGTAAGTTTCAAAGGTCTCTTCTTCCTCACACTGCAGTTCTACAAGGATTTCTTGTTAGATGGAAGGCCCAGCAGGGATGGAAGCAGGACGAGAAGGTGGTGAGTAATCTTCCTCCACCTCCAGCTGGAGGCTGGCTTTGCAGCCCACCCTCTCAGAGGTTTGCCTGAAGGGACCCGAGTGTCCCTCACCTGTGTGACAAGTGTCATTAACAGAAACCATGTCCACCTCCATCCTATGGGATCATATACTGCTTACTCATTAGTATCTGTGGAGACAGGCAGTATAAATTCCCGTGCCCCTTCATGGTTCACTTCTTTCATCGTAGCTTCCTTAGAAAAGAAACAAGAATTTCATTAACTACCAGGCAAAGGTAGCATTAGAGATGTTACTTTAAAAGAAAAGTAAGTAATAGTAAGCAAAACACTCCAAATAGCAATACAGGTATGAGACTGGGCATCTAGACAATCTAGGGTTTCTGTGTCAAGGGAACAAGACCAACATGCACACACCCCAACGCTTGGCTGCACAAGTTGGCAACAAGTCATACGGGTCGTAATGACTTGTGGTCCCGTAATGTGGTCCCAAAACTATCTCCTTGCTCTCAGGAATGAAGAGTGGGCCACCATACTAGTATTTCCTTTTTAACCCTAAATTAAAAAAAAAAACAGAGTTTGGAGATTTTATCTTACACACATTGGTCTTACAGTCTCTTATATGTGGTTCTATCATCTTCTATTATGTGAGTACTTCCACCTAACACTAAGATACTTAAAACATAGTCTGCCTTGTATTTCATTTTTATATATATTTTATTTATAAGTACGCAATCTCATTAAATCCTTAACATTTCCCATCCAACACAAAGAAGCTCCAGTTCTCAAGGAAAAAGAAGCAGGGAGGTAAGTGAAACACGTATCTCCTTACAACATATAGTATTCATAAAAACTAAATTTTTGATGCCACGCACCCATCCTACATTTATATTCCCAACACACATATCTATAATTTTGCAAGAGAACGAGGCAGGATCAAGTCACAGAGGGACTTAATGACTTGCTTTATGCAGACTTCCTTTCCAAAATTTAGCATGACTTGATCCTCAATCCTTCTCCTTCTTTATGCAACCTAATTTTGACACATTTTATATGGGAAGAACCTGCCAGGGTAGATGACTAGTTGTAATGTACTATTTGTCTGTTAGATCTGCCTCGGGTTTAATCTTTTTTTAGGGGACAGGGTGCAGGAAGGGGGTTGTTAATTATGAAACCCCACAAAAAACACGTGCACAAGGACAGCTACAGGAGAGCCCGTGGCGGCTGCACCGTTACCGCCACACCTGGGATCGCACTCCTTTCCCATGCAGCTTCCAGACGGGCTGGACAACTCCAAGATCTACCCGACAACCTGCTCCAACAGACAGGAGGATTTGCCCAAAGTGCCCGGCTAGGCGCGAGCGGGATGCCCGGGATGGAGCCCCAAGGAAACATCACACTTTGCAAGGATGTGTGCACATATATATGTATATATTTACATATATATTTATATATATTTAGTGCCCAGGCACACTCACAGCAGCCGCGATGACACCGAGGGCGCAGAGCTCGCTTGCCACCGCGCGTCCTTCCAGCCGCACCAGGGCAAGGCTCCTGCTCCTCTCCCGGGCCGCGCTGCCCAGGACGGGACCGGGCCGGGCCGGGCCGGGCTGGGCCGAGCTGGGCCGGGCCGGGCACGGGTGGTCGCTGCCCTGACGGGGCCGAGCCCCGCGCCGACCCTCAGCGCGCCCGGCGGCGGCCCTGTTGGGCCGGCACTACCTGCGGTGAGGGGGAACACAGCCCGTCACACCTCCAGTGTGACTGACACACCAGAGACCTGCCCCGTCACACCTCCAGTGCGACTGACACACCAGAGACCTGCCCCCGTCACACCCCCAGTGCGACTGACACAGCAGAGACCCGCCCCCATCACACCCCCAGTGCGACTGACACACCAGAGACCCGCCCCGTCACACCCCCAGTGCGACTGACACACCAGAGACCCGCCCCCGTCACACCCCCAGTGTGACTGACACACCAGAGACCCGCCCCCGTCACACCCCCAGTGCGACTGATACAGACAGACACCCGCCCCGTCACGCCCCCAGTGCGACTGACAGAGATAGAGACCCGCCCCTGTCACACCCCCCGTGTGACTGACACAGCAGAGACCCGCCCCGTCACACACACATCCTGGGATGGGGACACCTGGAGACTCACGGCAGTCATGCCCGCCCGCCCCGCTGCCTGATGCAGCCACAGAACAGCAGCCATCACCCCCCTAATGGGAGTGACACAGACACAGCCCTGCCCTTGTCACACCCCCGGTGTGACTGACAGAGCTGGAGACCAGCCTCCTGTCACACAGCCCCAGTGTAACTGACACAGGCAGAGACCCGCCTCTGTTTGACTGACACAGCCAGGGTCCGGCCCCTGTCACACCTCCTGAGTGACTGACACTGCCAGATCACACCCTCGCCTCCCGCCCCCGGGTGTGACTGACACACTCAAGATCTCACTGTGCCACTCCCCCGCACAGACTGACACAGCCAGTCACGGTCCCCGTCCCACCCCAGTGGGACTCATACCCAGGGACCAGCCCTTGTCACTCCCCTCTGGGGGCCTGGCACAGCCAGACACCAGCCCTTGCTACAACGCTCCAGTGTGACTGACACACCTCTATGCACCCCAGCCCTACCCCCAATATCACTGACAGTCCAAGACCGGCCCTCCTCCCACGCCCAGATGGACTGACACCTGAAGACTCACACCTTCCCACGCGACTGACACCCAGGGCAAACAACCCTCAGCACCCCTCTGTGCAGGCCTGGAGAACCTGAGAGCAAAAGACACTCACACCCGCACCACTCCGTCCTCTTACGGGTGCATTCCAAGGGGATGAGCTGCTTCCTGCAGCCCCCTGTGGCTGCTGTGATCTGCTGTTCCCATTCTCTCTTAGAAACATCTGCCCTCGCTGAACACTGGAACAAAGCTGCATCAACAAAACACCACTTAAATGCCCGCTACTGCCTTAGTTACTGGATGAAAATCAGCAGTGCGCAAATGTAAGGGGGTTAGAGATGCTCAGGCGTGGTGATACAGGCCATATCCCTGCATCTTGTCTCCATTCCATCCTGAAAACCTAAGTAAGTCCCAGCTTCTCAAGATTTTTTTTTTTCAGGCATCTTACATTAACTTAATAATTCTAGTTTTTGTTTTGTTTTGTCTTTTGTGGACATCTAGCCACCAGTTTATCCTTACAGGCCACCTTTGCTCTGTCCCTGCGAGCGCAGCAGAAACTGTTCTCATCCTCAAGGTGATGCCTCCAAGCCAAGAGCCCAGCAAGTCCATTCGGCTCCTCCAATTTGTATGATGTACTCACAGACCACCTGAACTGCCCCCAGACAGCAAAGAAAGGACAGCACAAACATGAGCATACAGAATGTGTGTGTGTGTGTATGAGCCATCCCCTAAATATACGGGAGAAACCAGCAGCTCCAGGACTCTGCTAAATCAAGGCAGGGTTACGATGCTTGTGCCATGCAGATGAGTTGTCATGTTGTCTCCCACACAGGAGTGTCTCCAAAGGGACCTACACCTACTCCAAATATCCCACAACATGTGGACATTTATAGCTCAACCCGGAGAAAAGTGAGGCTAATGATTGTCCAGAACAAAAAAAAAACAAACATAAAAAACCCACCAAATAATTTTCAAATATTTTGGAAAAATGCAGACATGGAACTGACAGCCATTATAAAATTCCAGGTTGCCTTTAAAATCCCGTTATATGCGTGGTAAGAGAAGGCAGTAGGTAAATAAGGTGCACTAGTAAAATCAGTGCTGGAATGGCTTAGCAAACATGCTCTACCCATTCTGTTTTCACAGAGGCAGAGTTTGGGGTCTACTCCCAACAGACGAAAACACCATCAGACCGAAACTCTGACAAAAGATGTGCATCCAACTGTGGGAGCCACCGTGATGTCAAAGAAAGGAACCCCTCTGGCAACAATTCAAGAGCAGATCCAGAATATTTGTTATCCGTCCCTAAATTGAGCTGCAAAAAAAAACCCTTTTGCTGCCAGCTCTATGAAAACAACGTGTGTCTTGACAACATAAGATGACTGAAAAAGACCAAAAGCCACCGTGGTATTCTGGATGCTACGGTGGGAGTGAGTGGCGGACCCTAAAGTCGTTTAAAGTCATTTATGTATCCATGCTCTCAGTGCTCACCTCCACACAGAGCTGCCACTTCTCATGGTTGTCTATACTCTCCTCGGTGGAATTTCTCAAACTTCTGTCTCTGAGGAGAGCCAAGTCCTCCCTTGACACTTCAGCTGCAGAGCTGAGATTTCTATAACTAGCATCACAGGGAATTTGGGGGAAGAGCTGTATTTTCTTTTATTTTGGTAAATTTGGATGTTGCGTGTTAAAAAGGAATTTTATTTACACATGAGAAGATCCATCTGTAATTGCGGAGCTGGGGAAGGAGAGCGTGTCAGCAGTTGAAAAACATTCGATTTGCAGGGATGTACTGAAGCAATTGCACAGAAGGGGGCAAATGGAGATAAGACAGGCAGCCTCTGCCCGCATCCAGCTGTCAGTGAACGCGGACAGAAAGAATATTTTAAAAGGGTTTGGGGAGGAAATCTATAGAAATGCCATCTTGGTGGTGACCAAGCCTCCCATCACACATTTGTATGAGTGCCCTTTCCTTTCTGGCACCATCCAGGCCTTGCACCAGAGAGGTTAATCGCATCTGCTTCGAGGCAGCATGCTCCCCTCTTTGTAAGTCATTTTCCAGAGTTTGGTAAAGGTTTCCTTTGCAAAGAGCATCTTAGCACTCTGGCTTCAGCTGTGCAAACCCTCCACGAATGCCCTTCTTTGGCACAAGGGGCTGAGGCTGTACTGTCGCACCGGTCCGAGGTGGGCACTGCAGTACCAGCAAGGTTCGTGCCCGCATCACAGCCTCCCAGACCCAACTGCCCAGCAAAATCCCTTCACGTGCCCCACAGCACACTTACACCCAGAAAAGAAAGACACTCACGTCTATTTAACACATAAGCATGCCAGCAAAACACCTCTATGGGGCACTAAGCTATGAGGCACGAAGGGTCTGCTCCGATTTGCACTTGGCAGGGTACCCACCTCAGAGAAGACAAATGCGGTCTCATCTGCTTACACCAGGCAGGCATCACAGAACGCTTATATGAAACAGAAGCATCTATTCTCCATATGGAAGGAAAACAAGCCTAACATTTAAAACTGCATGCAAACCATGTCTTGAATGAGCGCATAAGGGAGCAGAAAATAGCGAAAACTAAACGGATAACCACTGATAGATTATCTGGAGACACAGGCTAATGCAAAACAAACCAGCAGAGATAGCTTGAAAATAAATGATAGCTGACGCATTGCTACAGTGCAGAGCGTAGTAACAGGCAGTCTCATTCTTCACATCTACTTATTTGCTTTTTTGAAACTCTGCAATTATTCAAATGTTAAAAATCACTTGCATGAATCCAACTAACATTATTCACACCATTTTATACATATATCTGTACAGAGGCTGTTGTGACTTTGCATTAAATCTTACTTTATATAAAACAATGATCTTGCTAAGTAACATTTATGTTATATATTATACGCGTTTTATGGTTTGTTTGTTCATTTCTTCCTAGAGAACTGAAACTTGGGCCAAAAACTCAGAAAAAAAGTAAAATGACAGAAAACGGCTGGGGAAAAAAAAAAAAGAAAAGAAAGAAGAAGTTAAAATAGCTCTTCTTATTCAGCTGCAGCATCTATTGGTTATCTGGCCTAGATTTAATTAGAGAAAATCACAAGATTGTCTAGCTCAGCACAAAGCTGCTGACTTGAGCCAGTTTCATGTTTGACAGGATAAAATAGTGCTACTTAGAAGAGGTAGCTATATAACACCTACTAAGTGTGCATGCTGATGAATTTTCAAAGGGAAAATGGCTTTACAAATCCAGCCCTGTTTCGATGAAAACTGCTTGAGAGATTCATCATACATGAGAAGTAAACAAGGAGCAGTCTTAAAATTAAAAAGGCTGGTTGTCTTTAAGCGCCCAGGATTTCCTAAGGTCTGGCTGTTGTAAAAGTCACCCTTTTGGGTCCCTTTCAGACCGAAAGATCACAGGCAGCACAGAGCAGCTAACGCGGTCAAAGCCACTGCAGTACGTGATAACTTCAAGCCTCTTGCAAGTACATGGCAACCGCATAAAAAATTAATGACCCGACTGATTGCAACCAGCAAATGCAAGGCAAAACCAGGCTTGTTGATGTGCCTATTTGCTGTTTTCTGCCTGCCCTCACGCTAAAAAATGCTTCTGGTAATGGTCACTGTTAATCACTCTTTATCCTACAGCTGCCGAGGCAGGGCCTCACTGTATTAGGCTACTATAAAAATACCAAAAGCATAGAAAATCCCTGCTCTCTAACCTAAAGTCAGAACAGCAGAGTCCTCTCAGGTGCAAAGAGGTGTTTCTGAGTTGGAAAAATAGAAAAACCAAAAGACAGTCTTGCTTCCCCGTGGAAGCATCGGGCAAGGTGAGAAAGTCACACAGTGCCTCCCTGAGTTTTGCCTGCTCCAGCCCACAGATTAAAACCCCAGCT